ACCAGACCTCCATGCGTGACGTCTTCCGCAAGTTCGACCTGGGGCCCGATGTGATCGAGTTCACCGGGCACGCGCTGGCGCTGCACCGCAACGACAAGTCAGTACCGCCGCCTGCAGGGGGCGCTCCCCTGCGTTCACTCTGGTTGCTTCAGGGCAGGTGCAGAGCTACAGCACAGACAGCATGCGTTATTTCTAAACCGAGCACTGAGCCCTTCCCCGAGAGACCACTGTTATTCATGCGCCCTTGGACTAACACAGTGATCATCCATGGCCTCCACAGGGCTGAAAAATGGGACGGGAGACCTCTCAGGATAAAACAGGAGGCAGTTGTAAGTGGCGTTAGTGGTTAGTGGTGCAGTAGGAGGCGCCTTTCCTCTGGACGAGAATGGTGAGTGCAGACATTGTGCTGTAGCAGGAGTTGTCCTCCGGGTGAGACGTTAAGCTGAGGTCTTGAACACATGGTCCGAAGAGCCGATGGCAAGGCTCCTAGCAGAAGCAGGGGTGTTAACTCCAGCGCCCCGGCTGAACTCCGCTCTGTTTTCGTCTGGAACTGTCTGGCCTCCCTAAAGTCCTCTCTTGATTCTCCCCCGCTGTCTCCTCCCCAGGCCTGTGTGCTGCGGGGCTGCTGTGTGCTGCTCTTCAGTGGCGGGTGAAGTGGGTCTCCCCCCCGTGTGTCAAGCGCTTTGCTTTTCTTTGGGGTGAAGGATGCTGTATGAGTGCAACTAACTGGAACAGGCTCAGGGGCTTGGGGAGCGAGCACCTGATCTCACCCCAGGGCTCTGGTTTCCCAAGGAGCTCGACATCTTCAGCCACAGCCAGGGAGGGAGTGGGACTTGAACGGAGATCTTTCCTGCGTGGATCCCTCTCCCTGCCTCGGTTTGTCTCACTGCCCCTGTGTCTCGCAGCTACCTGGACCAGCCCTGCATCGACACCATCCAGCGGATCAAGCTATACTGCGAATCTCTGGCTCGCTACAACAAGAGCCCCTACCTGTACCCCCTGTACGGGCTGGGGGAGCTTCCCCAGGGCTTTGCCAGGTAAGACCCCAGGGCCGAGGGACAGCAGAGAGGTTGCAGATGAGAGTAGCACCATCTAGCCCAGTTCAGGTCCACTTAATCACCCCAGACTCTCACACAGCATGTCTTGGGAGGGTCCGAAGTGACTCTCAGCGAGTAGGTCTAGTATCTCAACCTTGCAGGGCATAAAAACATACATGCATACAGCACAAAATACAAAGGGGACACTGACGCTTCTTAGATCAGCAACAGTCTGCCAGACCTCCTGCAGTAACTGCTCAGAACACTGTCTCTTTCTTCCCTCTCTCTCCCTCTCTCCCTGTCCCTCTTTCCCTCCCTCTCCGTGTTCCTCTCTCTCCCTCTCCATGCCCCGTCCCTCTCTCTTCCTGTCCTTCCCTCTCTCTCTGCCCCATCTCTCTCTCCCTCCCTCTCCCTGTCCCTGCCCCTGTCCCTCTCTCCCCTCCTCTCCCCCTGCCCCTGTCCCTCTCTCTCCCTCTCCCCAGGCTCAGTGCGGTCTATGGAGGGACCTACATGCTGAACCGCCCGGTGGATGAGATCGTGCTGGAGAACGGAAGAGTCGTGGGTGTCCGCTCAGATGGAGAGGTGGGAGAGACACTGGGGGACGGAAAGTCTGGGAGAGAGATCCTGGGGATGAACTGAGCTACAAAAAGTGGAAACTACAGGGAAGAGCATTTCAAACTGAGAACTTTGCTTTACACAAAGGGTGGTGGGGGTGTGGAACAAGCTGGGCAGCCATGTTGTTGAAGCTGAAGCCCTGGTTTCTTTCCAGTGACAGCTGGATGAGATCCTGGGATCAAATAGCTATCTAAAGTGTCCAGATGGACTGAATTGTCCATGACCCGTCATATGTTCTCATGAAAGACAGAAGCAAAAAGCATAAAAAGATGAAAGAATGGAATGGAGGCAAAAAGAGAAAGGGAATGAGGCAGGCAGGCAGATGGAAAAAGGCAGAGAGGGGGGGAGGGGGGTCTGCAGAGGAGACGTCAACTAGGCAGTTCATTTTAGCCTCTAGGACCTGGGCTGGGAGTCGTGCTCTAGGTGAGACAGTCTATCCCTCTTTGCCCTTTATTTTTCATTAAATACCCCTGCCCCCCCCCCACTGCCCCGCAGATGGCCCGCTGTAAGCAGCTGATTTGCGACCCCTCCTACGTGCCGAACCGGGTCAGGAAAGTGGGCCGGGTCATCCGGGTCATTTGCATCCTGAACCATCCGATCAAGCACACGCAGGACGCTAACTCTTGCCAGATCATCATCCCACAGACGCAGCTCAACAGGAAGTCGGGTATGACATCGCAGGGAATCCCGAACGCAATGACGACATCACAGGTTATGTGACCCCCAGGCCAGCAGGCTGTGTAGGTCCACAATAAGTCACCAGTTTCTACAGAGAGAAATAGAAAACAAAATCTACAGAGAGGTAACAATTCCCTTATGAGCAATTAAACAGGTGATGTGTTTAATTAATTCAGAGGTCTTTTAGGACCACAATGTAAGCACTCTTTGGTTCCTAAAGACCAGAGTTCACTTAACAGATTGGTAGACTGATTCATCAGTTATTCACAGTTGCCAATCGTATTCAATCGCGTACCTTGAAGACCAGTGGTCTAGAGCCTTGGACCCCACCTCTCTCTCCTCCTGAAAGTGCTCTGTTTCGTTTAATCATACAACACGCTCTCAGTCCACCTCACCCTGCAGAGCCCAGTGCGCCTTCTGGCCCGATGAGCTGGGTTTTGTCTGAAAGCCAGGACACACAATAATAACGCCCCACGCCCTCCCCCCCTCCCCGTGCCCCCTGTCTTTCCCGGCGCCCACGCCTCGCCCCCCGCCTCTCGCCCGCGCAGACGTCTACGTGTGCATGGTGTCCTACGCCCACAACGTGGCGGCGGAGGGGAAGTACATCGCCATGGTGAGCACCACAGTGGAAACCAGCAACCCCGAGAAAGAGGTGCAGCCCGGCCTGGACCTGCTGGA